AGCACGTATCAGAGGCGACTGCAAGAATCCTGAAACCATTCGGGAGAGGTGTGGGTCATAAGCCGGTCTATGGTCTATGACCACGAACAACAGAAGAACCAAACTTTAGCCCTTGACATTGCAAGGGTAGTAGGTCAAGCCAATGACAAGTTGGCCGGACTGCTGTTAGAAATTCATCCCTCCCAGCAGGCTGTACGCGCAGGGCTCAAGTCAATTCGAACAAGGCGAACGGGACAGCATAGTAAGCTCAAACGTGAAATGCAACCAAGGTCAGAGGAAAATAGGGGCAGAGGAGATCAGGAACCACCTGAGTGGCTTAGGACACTACCTCACTGCCGCGCCCACGAGATTGATATCAACTCATGCGGGCAGCATCCATTGAACAGTCCTTCGGCCAAAGAAGGGCAAGCCAGTGAGCACGGTGGCTTGCCAACAATTACGATAGCCGCAACTGGGACAAAGTTCACGCGAGCGCATCAGCGGTCAATCGCATGGTCAACCAGCAGCTAACAGATAGGTCAAAGTTCGTGCGTCGGGCATGGATATAATACCAGACATGCGGCAAGACTGAAACAGTCACGGCAAACAGGAACAATTACCTGCTTACTCTGACGATGGAACCGGGCAAGTGCCCGAAACATCAGTCTAACTATAATTCGGTCCATGATCTCGTTCCTTCTTTTTCGGCTTATTTGGGGTATAATGGAAACGATACGATATCAGGAACTCGAGCCTCCACGCAAAGGTTTTACTTTATCGTATTGAGCATTTACAATGCACTTCCAATTCTAAAATATGTTTGCCGAATAATATTCATAAATAGATCATTTTAAATACACGTCTTCGAAATAACCGACTGTTCTCGTCCACATAGTGTTCCGCGGATGACGTCTTTGTCGTGACATCCACCATGGTCGCGAAAAATTGTCTTTAAAATAAAACAAACACAGCCGTAGTTCTAGCTTACATCCTTCTCATTGCTATCTTCGAATGGAGGTCCTATGTGCGAGGGCACAGATGTCGTCATGTCACGTGCGCTAATCTCCACCTCATTTGGTGCTTGGGAGGCTACATTTGGTGGACGGTCCCTGTATGGCTTTCATTTGTTACAGTTAACTGTAAATGTATCTAGCAGGCAGCGTAATCTCTGACAGCACAAAGGAGTTTTTAAATGGCGCGTACGAAGCTGTAGCGTAAAACCAGTTAAGTATTCTGGACCAGACAGTATTTCTGCCCAGTATAGGAAACTGACAAATCATTGCATGCTAAACTATAAGTGATGCGAACGCCTTCTTGTAGGTTCATGACATTCTTACCGGTGGCGTACTTTTCTAATTTTTAATTAAGTGAATTCTGAATCCAAACGTCGAGAGAATTGACAACCTGTAAGTACTAAGAAGGGGATGTTTCCAGTCGAGGCACGAATAACCGCCCTATATGGCAGCATTGCCAACAATCGAAATATGTCCCAATTATGACGATTGTGGTTCTTGGCTCATACTTTATGACTTAAATAAGCCTGTGCTTGGCACATTAGCCCTGCCTCTTACCGGTAGAGTGTACTGATGCCGTCATAGAATTAGGTGCTGGAAGAAGATTGAAGACCTTATGTAAGAGACTGCTCTCAGAATTAGTAAGGGAGGTCGCAGACCTGGACTTCCGGTCATCAATTTATTCGGTTTTTTTCTTGTGTCAATCCACGACAGTAAAAAGATAGTTCATATTTAAATTTACCAGTAACTAGGTGGTTAATACGGTAGTGGTCCAATGGTGTCAGCATCGACTCCGTCAAAATTAACCTGCGAACCATAGATTAAAATGACAAAATTCGGACAAGAGCTATGATCTATTTCCTGAAGTAGAAAAACGCATCTGAAATGTCAAATAAAATTCTGAAAAGTGTGTCCGCTCTGTAAAGATAGCTTAAGTGGGGTCGCAGTACTAGTTATAATGCCACATAATTCCAAGCTAAATTACTCACGCCGGGATGCTTGCTCTTTCGGTTTTTAAGTTATCTTTCATTTCAAGACTTTCTAAGACCGTGAAACGATCATTAATATAACATCGTATCTTCTAATTTATTAAATCTATAAGGCTTAGAACGTGGTTGATACTATATGCTGTTGTAACTTGCCATTCTATCAGCCTAGGTACTAGCTACAAGACCCAGACATGTGTTTTGCTAGTATTCTGCCGCTGTTTGATACAGCTGCGATGAGTCCGGCTCATCAGTGGGTGCCCCAG